GCCGCTTCTCCGATCACGAGTCAGCTCGAGTTACCGGCCTCCGCGATGATTGCCGCGCTCGTCCCGACGATATTTCACGAAACACCCCGGGAAATGATTCCGTTCCGCCCGGGGATGTAGATCGCGCCGGGATTGGTACGCCGTGTGTGGTCCATTTGGGATATTGAAAAGGTGTCCTCCTCGGTTTTAGTTGAAACTACGAGACCAGGGACTAGGATGTAGGACGTCGCAGGAAAGCGAAAAGGTCAGGGTACTGGGAGAATCTCGACTCGAAAATATATCAATTGCTTATATCAAATCTGAATTTCAAGGTCGTCTGAAGGTCACTCTATGATAGGTCGTTTTTTCGTTAACAACTCTACAAAGTCAAAACTATATGGCGAATAATAATAATAATTCGAACCGCCAAAGTGTTGGGATATTCGGCAAACAAATAATTCGACAAGAAGCCCCGGACCAAGCTGCAAGCAACCGTGCGATATTATTTCGATTAATCTTCCGCTTAACGATGCATTACTATTGACATTTTACACCGTAGAATATCGCGCCAAGTTGAACGTGTGTTCGGTTTTTAAAAAAAGAACGCGTATCGACTGTGCGGGGGAAGCGGGGATGGGATATACGCATTTCGAAAACGAAAAAGTGATAAATCTGGAAATGTGGAATGACAGAACACATATATCTTCGTTGGGCGGAACTAGCGAATCCCTATATGCCGCACTAATCCTTTTCCGATACTGAAAAAATGATAAATCTCGGATGTAAAACCACGAACGGAGGGTATCGATTTTGTACACAGGACGATCCGTAAGTGCGCCGTAAGAAGTTTGTTTAAACCATTTTTATGGATGATATAAACGAAACGTTTGTACGGATACTCGGATGAACGTTCCCCTATTTTCCAGCAACGCGATGAAATAGAATATTTATCTTTCCGTGGTAAGAATTTCAACTTGTAAAAAGAAACGTAACCCGTACCTTTTCATAAATTGTAACCCAACGATCATGCCCTTATTATTTTTAACAATTTATTTAATCCTTTGATTTTTAAATGAAAATTATTTTTAAGGTTCATCGGGAATAAAGCAAAAATGGAAAATGAAATTTTTGCGTTCGCGTTGCTTCGTGAAATATACTTCATAAATTGATATTTATCTCGAACTAGGGTCCCGGGAATAATATTTTGACAAATGGTACGAAAGTGTGTCGTTCAATATTATTACATCGAATAAAATAATTTTATCGCCCGTATATTTACGGGACGAAAAGTTCCGACGAAACAAATTAAACGAAATAATTTTCGTGTAACATAATGTAAACGTCGACGAGCGGAATTTATGTAATTTCGACGTGTTATTGGAACCCGTTTACGACTGATAAATCCAGTAGCGCTGACGGTGTCATTTTTAGGCCACCGGAGATTTCAACGCGCGATTATTCAAACGCGTTACGCACGTCAGACACGCACCGTGGCGCGTAGGGTTCTTAAAAGAAATATGGCGACGGGTTCCGCGAAGATTTCCCGAATAACGTTGGACAATAAATTTCTGTTATCTGTCGTAGAACCAGCAACGACATCGGGGATAGCAGAAAGCAGGAATGTAATACTCCGCACATGATCGTAACATGGTAGCAAATGAGCAAAGTTCGCGACGGAAGACTTTTTCGGCAGTGTATTAAGACGAGGGAACTATAATGTTCAGATTTTTCTCGCGATACAGTCGGAAAAGTTCGATCGTCTTCCTTTATTCTCGTTGGAGACATTTCTATTCAAACAATTCTAATAATAAAAATATTGGTATAACGTTGAAAGAAGTTTAAACCAGTTATATTTTGCTAAAAAGATATTCAAAATGTCTTTAAAGCTTAGAAAAATCCGAGAAGATTAAATTAACCATTTATTTGATCGAAAAATGTTGATTCAGGCCACTTCTGTAGTCACTGGTACAACTGTGTCTATGGCTAGCCGCCATTGTAAAATTTCCGTCTGGAGGGGTGATTTCACTTAATTCTCCCAAAAAGACAGCTGTATATAATGTTCAAAAATTTCATTCGTACACCGATGCGTCTGGAAAGAAAGCGATGCTTCGGGAGTGTAATTTCTATTCGATTCGACTTCTGGTTAAAAAAGAGTTGTGGAGGGCAGACTCGCGTCACGCTCGAGGCCATCGCTAGCGGGCAGGGTAAATCGCGAGGCCCCGCCGCGGACCGAATCGCGGCGACGAGCGCGTAAAGATAAACAACAAACAAGCGACGAGGAATCGATGCCTCTGAATCAGCGAGTCTCGGGCCGTGGAAGCGTGCGGGTATATATTGTCGTAATATTTCGGGAAACGCGGTGCCGGTCCGGATCCGAGGGGTGGGCAATCTCACCCTCGAAGATGGCATATACGCGGAGGTGAATCGCCTCTTGCCGAGGAAATCCGAGGTAATTGAATGCTAACCCTCCCTCCCTCTTTCGTCCTCCGTGCTTCACCTAGCTGTCTCCTTCTCCCGCCGCGTCCACCCCCGACATCCCGTTCAACCCTCGGCGCGGCGGCGTGGAGGGCGCTGCGCTCATCCCCTTGCTATCACTCACCGACACAGACTTGTAGCTTTCAATAAAAATGTAAATATGGCGGCGTAGAACGAGCCAATGACAGCGCTACATCGACGCCGCCGCCGTGCCAGAGCGAGACGGAGACAGAGGTAGAGAGAGAGAGAGAGAGGACGCGCTGGCTGCGGCAGGGGTTGAGGCTTCGAAATGGGAAGCTGGCTGCGAGGGTCGAAGATGGCGAACCGGGAGGACGGGACACGCGGAGGAGGCTTCGGGAGCGGTGAGTTCGGAGCCGCGGCTCGAGCAGAAGTACTACAGATGTAGCTCCGAGAGGCGGGAGTAAAAGTGGAGGCTGGAGGAGGTGGCAGCCTCTCCGCGGCGGGAGGATATGGGAGATAGGTAATAGGGGTTTTCGAGAGAGTAGGGAGGCCGAAGGGAGACGGAGAGAGATTGAAGGAGGGAGGGCGGGGGATGGACGAGAGCGGAAAAGATGGAGAGCAATAGGTGGATAGACAGGGACGTGGATGAAAAAAGAGGGAGACGCTGGGAGCGGGTGGAAGAATGGTGAAAGAGGACGAAGCAGAGTGCCGGTGTGACGCTCGCCGTCGTCACCTACGGTTTCGCCTCTCTTTGTTCGTTCTATTTCGTTTGGTAACGCTGCAGGGGCAACGGGAGAGAAGGAAAGAGAGAGAGAGAGAGAGAGAGGGGCGCCCGGAATGACGCAGGTGCCGCAAAGCTTGACACGTCTCCGGCTGTTTTGTCACCTTCTTTTATCCTTCGAACTTTTTACAAGCTGCCTCGTTAGAAGCTTGCTCCCGGCGTTGATGGAGTAAGCCGCCCCCGAACAAATGCGTTTTAAAATTACGCCCTTTTCACCGGGGAACCACCCGACGAAGCCTCGGCCCGCGCGAGGACCGGGGCCCACCCTTAGCGAAAGCTGCCACTTCGATGACACGCTTTTTTCGTTGCTCGCGTTTGTCCGGGACTTTTTGGTTTTTCCCTGATGATTGTTGGCCAACGTGGTTGTCCACGACTTTAGAACGAGACGTAGAAGCACGATTATAGAGGATAGAAGGGTTTTAAAGTGCCTCGTTATGGGATTGGACCAGTTAACTCGTGGTAAGGATATGTCTGCATTGAGCAGAATGAGATAACTTGTTTGAATCTGTCTTCGTATTCAGCGAGACGAGTTTACTCATCGTGTGCAAAATATCTGTGAATTTGGCAGGACGAGTTAACTCGTCAATTGAAAATATTTCCGTTTTGGGCAGTGTGATCTAGTTTATCATTTGAAAATGCTTCTGGATTGGGCAAAACGAACTAATCTGTCGTTTGGAAATGTCTGCATTGGGCATGACGAGTTAACTCGTCACTGAGAAGTGTCTCTGTATCCGATCGGTCACGTTAACTTATTATTTGAAAATGTCTGTATGAGACAAGATGGGTCTTATCGTTTAAAAATATCCCACTGTGGCGCATGACGAATTAACTCGTCGCTACAGGGTGTTTCTTAAGTAGAAATGGTCCAGTTAACAATAAGTTATATTACTAATTATATAAGAGTTCTAAACACAAATCATTTAATACCGAATTTGCAAATCTTTGCATGAGATTGTACCACGTGAATTGCCTTGATTTATACGATCAATTATATCTAAATATGAATAATTATATCTAACTATGTCGACGCAAATCTTGACGCTATCGCAAAATTATAATCGAAGTAATACGCGTCTTCCATGGTCGCGGGATAAAATGCTTTTTCGAGGTTATAATCCACGCTCGAATAATTAAGCCGACAAGGAAATATTAAATAATGGCAAAGATTAAAAACAGGCAGTTAAGTTGATTTCACTTTTTATCGCAGTTTCGTCGTTCCATCATTCATGGATTAATATCGGAGCAGCGAACGCTTAACTGTTATGAATTTTTATTAACCCATCTACATCTGTTACTCATAATTAGCCGAGCCGCTTAAATCATCGTGACGTTTTTATTGAAGATTAGCATAAACTTTATTAAACACGGCATCGTCATCTAATTTCGCGCAAACCAGTTATATCGCTACTATTTTGAATAGTTAACGCTTCTCGTAAAATGATCGACCGTGTCGAACAATTCCAATTATTACGCGAATAAACTATTTTTTCATTTTGAATATCTTGCATTGTTTAGTCAATCCAAGTATTAATTCGTTGGCGCACAATTCGTTTCAATCCAGATGTTAAAATACAATGATAAATGTAAAAATTTTAATTTTCGTTGAGAATGTAAATTGTACCACTGATAATCGTAAGATTAATTACAATCGGACCAAAATCTAGCTCTGAATCGAGGTAATTGATCGAAAATTTCATTATTGACTTTTATCGAGGCGAAGGTCCGGCCTTTTAACGAGGTGTCGCAGTAATCGGCCGTTAATTGACGGGAATCCGTTCGAAAGGACATAGAAAGTGAATCTTACCTTGACTTGCGATTCCGACATTCCGAGGGCGTACGCCAATTTAGCGCGCTCCGGTCCCGCAAGGTATTTCGTTTGCTCGAACGTTTTCTCGAGGGCGAAGATTTGCTGGCCGCTGAACGTTGGCCTCGTGTGCTTCTTCTTGCCACCCTCGTGCTCCCCAGCCCCGCCGGTGCCTGTCATCGTTTGCTGACAACCCAGCTGTTGCGACACTGTAACATCGATATTTTCCAGGGATTCTCTCGTCACTTTAATAATATTATTCCGACCGTTATTTCTATTCATCCGTCGCGGCTGGCGAATGAACTGCTTAGAACGAATCGACGGAAAAAAAAATCGAGCTCCTCCGCGTCAGCATCCGGCGTTCGAGGCTCTCGATTTTTTCCACGAGTCTAACCTCTTCGGACCATACAAAATTTGTTTCATTTAATTTCTCTCTCAAAACAATAAACGTCACGTGGCCACAATTGATCTCTGGCGTAAAATTACATAAGGTACACGATCGAAACGGTTGGAGGTTATGTAATATGCACATTTAATCGCAAATATGTTTAGAGGTTATGTTCTGAGCGCGTCCAATCTCCAAAATGGTTTCAGGTTACGTAATGTGCACATCCAATCGCCGAATTGGTAACAGGTTATGTAATGTGAAGAGCCAATTACCAATGTAGTAGCAGGCTATGTAATTATAGACATCAAAGTGGGTATTCTGAACGAGTTATAGGGACTATTATGGGAAAAATAAAGTAGACTTTAATTTTAAAAATGGCTCCAACTGACGGAGACATCGATGCCCCAATTTACTCTATAAAAGTGATCCTCTACAATGTTCTTCGAAACACTTTCGTAATAGCATAGTTTTGCAATGTTAGTTCTGACATTTAACTGCGTTATCATCGTGATCGTCAAACTTATTCAATAATCAGAGGCACAGTTTGCGGAGATAGCCCCTTCACCAAGCAATTAATCTTCATTAATTTTGCGTTCATTCTTCTTGTCCTCGCTAGCGTACTCGTTCCAACGATTTACATACCCTATCGATAATTACGTCATAAATTAACATCTCGTTACACGCCAAAAATGTTGTGTACGGCACACCTATTAAAAACCATGCAATTATCCGACGTTAACCGATCGATTGCTACCTTTTGCGGCGGCGGTACAATGTCGAACGCTCGGCTCTATTGACATTTCGCTTCATTAACTAACTCTTTGTTAACTAGCCCAGTCCCCAAACTCTCGTCATTTTTATTCTTCGCACCCTTTATTTTTACAAGCATATCTACAACCCTGTAAAGTGTAAGCTATTGTACCTCACGTAGGACACTAAATATAAAATCTACGATATCTCAGTTAATGTTGTTTCTATAACGATAATGTATGCAGCAAAACTTATTGCAAATTAGAATTAGAAACTGTTTTGTTTCATGCAAATTTTTGATAGAGTTTATATTAACCGAGATATCGTCTACTCTCGTTTGCATTCGACACACAGGTGGCGCCAGTGTGGTCTTTGTACATGTATCGAGGTTCGCGATTTGGAGGTTCGAAGGAGTCATGCCTCGTCGAGCATTAAAACGATTCGGCGATCGTTCGAAGGCTCCGGGGAGCAACAAGGGGAGATCGCAGTTTAATTTGACGGAATCACGCGTTCAAGGGTTAAACACTTGCGCGATAGACCGCAATCACGGCGTCTCGACGTCGGCCGGCACGTGCCAGCCACGTGAGTTTAGCGTTCCGCAAATAGGCGGACTTTGTTATCGTTATCCTTGCTGGCTGTTGATCCCGTGTTCAACATGCCAGGGGAGAGAAAACCGATCTCCGGGGCCAGATACTATCGCCAAATGGAACGGCACGTGACAGAGGGGTGAAATCGGGGCGGCATTATCGCGGCGCGAAGATGTTCACGAGCGATGTACTGCGAAAAACCGGGCACGATTAGCATGGCGCATCCATTCCGGTCGTAAAGTCAACCGACCGTGCGGAAAATTATAAGAAAATTATCCTATAATCTATCTGCGAGATCGTTACACTTCCACGAAGCACCAGGAAACGAAATTGAAGCGTAAAATGAACACTGAACAGCGTTCGATTACTCTATGAAGATTAATTCTTTGGCTGAAAACAATTGTTTAGGATCGTACAAGTGTCTGAAACGGTTATTGCAGTTTCACATTGCAGAGTGATGGGGTTTACAGTAGTTCCCGGATTAGTGATCGAATTTCACCCCGGATAACTGAACGAGAGTAATTTTTAGCACCGTTAAGATATCTCTATTGTTTGTTATACCATCGCCACTTTGTCATTTGCCCAAGAATTTATTGAACAACCTCTCTAGCTCCCCGAGAGGGATCAATCTTGGCCAGAGGTGACGGAATCGAAGTCGTAACGCTGACATGCATAAATTCCCGCAAAAAGCGGAGTTATCGAATTACGTAGGAAAGTTGCGCGAGTTTACGCAGTTTCTAAGTAGATGAATAGGGGATATCGCGTGAAACGTGTACCTCCATCGAGGCAGAGGGTGGAGTGCGGTAAGCAGCTCATTAGAACCCTCCCCGCCGACTGGCCATTATTGCCTCGTTCCGTATTCCGTTACAAATTGCTTTATTAAATTAAAGTCCCACAACCCATACTGTTGTGACGACCCCACGCCTCCTCCCCCTTTCCCCTTCCCTCTGCATCTCATCCCCATGTGCCGCGTAAACGCGTCTGACCGCGTGCTGCTCGTCCACCCAACTTCTCTCCCTGCTCCCTTCTTAATTACCCGGTCAAATTTTAGGGAATATTTTCTCTAACGGCCCTTCGGATTCCTTTGGATTTCGCCCGTCCCCGAGTACTCGTCTTTCGTTACAGAATCATTTGGACTTTCGACTACTCTTATTATAAATTTTTTTGGATAGCTTGGGCTCCCTAGTACTTTTCTTTCATTATAAAGTCACTGGATCCTTTCGACTCTAATGCATTTTTGGACCCCTTTGGGCCTCGAGTACTCCTCTTTCACTATAGATTCCATTGAACCCCTTGGATCCCCGAGTACACTTCAATTAGTATAGATCTTTGGATAACTTGGACTCCCTGGTACTTTTCTTTCATCATAGACTCCATTGAACTCCCCAGTTCTTTTCCTTCATTACACGAACGAGACATGTCGTTTACATCCCTCGAATCCAAGGAAGTCACCTACCTACATAAGTGTTCGACTTCTGTGCCAACTATGGACACTAAAACGGGGCCCCATGCATAATTCCCAGCATTCCCCAGCGTATCCTCGTTTCCTTGTATGGGATCCATCTCCGAACTGGGTCCCACATGCCGCGGGAGAGCCTGTATACTCCCACGCCCACCGCAAGAACCTGCCCGCCATCCGATCGGCCAATGTATCCCCATCACCTTGGCTAATCCTCCCACGCAGGTTCGTTAAAGCTGCTGGATCCAGCCTCGAGCATCGCCCGCTCGCATCACAACACACCCTCTATCGACCGACGGCACGCCGTCTAATGCCGCTTAATAACCCGGAAGCAGTATGTTACTACGTAACAGGCAATCGCACGCGACTCCTCCAGCGAAAGTAAGGTCGACTCGAGCCGCCATAAATATCCCCGGCGCCTAACAATCCGGAATGGCGAAGTGGAGCAGACCTCGTGGGCCGTGGAGAGTCTAGGTATTTAATGGAAACGGCGAAACCGATCCCGTTTATCGCCGATAGGGCCGGCGGTCCCGCGACGGTCGTTCGAGGCTGCCTCGCGAGGCCCATGCAACCGATCAAACGTTACAGCCCGGAATATAAAGCATACATCGGGGGTATAGTGCGTTATATGCCGTGGTCGTAAGTTAGGTCATGGGTGGGGGTGGTTGTGGTTCGGAGCAGGCGAAGGCGAGCAAGCCAGGAATGGATACACCGTGATGCCACAGTTAAAATATTGCCAGAGTTATTCACGTGAGTGTGGAAAGCTAGGGGCTGGAGGCTGTGCGGCAGCAGGCAGGAGGCCTCGCCGGGATACGAGGGTTGATATTGAATATGATATTCCGGATCCAACGCCGCAGCGGACTACCGCCACCGCTACCCTCTTATTCGTCCCGCAGTGACATTCGTACCCGACGACGCTGAAACAACACACGCTTGCTCGTCCACGCCCTTCCACGCCGATCCTACGTACTTACATCCTAGTATCCTATCTCGTCACCCTTCTTGGCTTCTCTCTTCGACCACCCTCCTACCACCGTGCCCCATCTCTGTCCGTTCTGCCACCTTCGGCGTAACCGTCTCTCTTCCGCCACGTAGTTGACGCTCGTGTGCGTGCTGGCACATGTGCCACCGCCAGGGGCTGATGTATGCTCCCGAAAGGGGATGCTCTCTCCTCCGCCGTCACGTGTTCTTTCACTTTGTTTGTGATTTTTTTGCGGCGCCCTTAATCGCTTTTACAAATCGCTGGGGCACGAGTTATGTAAGCGACGCGACGCTTCGACGGAAACTTCGCCGCGGAAAAAGCGGTTTTCGAAGTGACCCGAGTGCGTATCGTGCCCCCGACCTTTCGCGGCGCTCGATTTTGCATGGGGGTGGATCGTGGCGTTTTATTTTGGTTTATCGGTCTCGTTGATTGCTCTCGCGAAGTAATTGCTGTAGCGATAACCGGGGACAGGGATTTGTCTAGCTTGTTAGGGCAATTCTTGCTTTAAGGCACAGCAATTTGAGAGGTATTTCTCTAAGTGGGGAACATGAATCGCAGAATTGCCCGCTTTGAAGTGACAAAGTTGAGGATATCGAAGTAAAATCATCTTTCGAAATTGTGGAACCTGAAACTCAAGTTTTGAGTTATGAGAGGTAGTCAGGTGTCTTGAAAGCGGGGTAGTCATCGCAAGGAACTACAAGTATCGCGTTTCTGTAATAATATTGCTGTTAGTCATCAGTTTATGTGGTAATAACTTCAGTTCAGTAGTAAAATAAACTTTCTGACAAATTGTAATCACCAAATCTGAAGTGTCACTTGAAACCGGGGCAACTTCAATTTGTCCATACATTACAACTTTCACATGGAGAAATACAACTGTTATTGTTCGAAAAATACGATGCTGAACAGCCCTCGTAAATCCCTCCGTCTCTCCGCTTTTTTTCTTGCCCGTAGGGAAAGAAGTGTTTTCTTAGATTCTTCTCGGATGACAGTTTTTTTTTCTGCACGGCTCACGGTTCGTCGTTGTTTTGGGTGATCTCTAGAATAGCATTTAGCGGTTCACTGGCACGTGTTTTTCACTTTCGATCGGTCGATTTCCTCGTCTCAAAAGCAAACACGAACAGCTGTCAAATCTGTTCAGCATCGGGGGAAAAGAAATATCCCTAGGCTGAAAACTGTCTAGGATGCCCGCTCGATGTTTTCGATCCAATCTTTTTCACTTCGACGTCTTACTTTTTTGTCGTTGTCTCTGTTTCAACATATCTTCCGTTCCCTAGCTGAAGGGGCACTATTTGTGCGTTTAGTGAGCTCATTTGACATGGGTAAAATGATTGGAATCATGGCAATCACGAAGGCATGTCGAACAAAAGGGTCTCTGTTGAAGTAGCCGTGTCTTCAACAGTTTTAGATATTTTTACATGAAAAAAATTGTGTATACTTCTCAAATATAAGTTTAATTTATATAAACTTATAAATATTGCCTTCCAAGATCCTGAACAGCAAGGAAGGAAAGAAGGGTGGACGACACTTAGCAATTTCAAGTATCACGTGCCAAGAATCTCCGTTTCAAGTAAAATATGTTCTAGAAATGAAACGGGAAATATATGTATATATCGAAAAGGATACTCACGTGTGTGTAGTCTTGCCCGCCATGCTAGGGGATCGCTGACTAATCCCTGAAGACCCGGCCAATAGACAGCGGGATGCCGTGGCTCCGTTCTTTGTTGAAATTGTCCGATACCTGCATTCAAAGCAAACAGAACGTGAACATATGCGCGTATATAGATGTCCACACGTATGTTCCACCATTCTATTTGTTCTTTGTATCTTCTGCCATCTATCTTTCTCTCTACCGCTCGATTGTACTTGTTCCTCTTTTTCGGTGATGTTACAATATTTACTAGATCGCGAAGCGTCTTCGAAATAATACCTGTAGACGCCATTGGACACTGGAAACATTTATGCAAAAATTCGCGAGCCTTATTAACAATATACAAGAGCGGTCCAACATAAAAGAATACCTAATATAAAAACTAAATTGTTTTTAATTTATCTTATATTGGTCATTTTATTTTATTCCAAACGGTTCTGGATCAATGTAAATGTAGATTTTTATGTTACTTCTGTGTCTGTATTAGTAGATTGTGTTAGTATATAGAAAAATTTTAATAGGAGATTCTAGAGGCCAACATAAGACGAAAATCAAGAATGTCAATTTGTTGATGGAGGCTTCGTTAAGAAGTTATCAACGTTTAGAGTTTCGTCTCTAATAAATTTTTTTCTTCAAAATGCGTAGGATTTCGGGGGTATGTGTGTTCACCAAAAATGATTGTAATTGACCCCCACAACCGAAAATAATTTTTCCAGAACGATTCGAAAATTTTTAATTTCGTTGAAACATTTGTCCACCTAACCGAATTTTTGTCTCGAAAGTGGATAGGATTTCTGTATATAAATTCGGGATATTGTATATAAATTCGTGTGACTGGTTGTATCATATGTTGCTGATCTCGACACAATTGAGTCTGCGTCGACAACGGAACGCGAGAAAATTTAAGAATGTAATATTATTGGTTCCCCCACCCCTTTATAGTTTACTATACTGCTCGCGAGATTGTGTATCGCTAGCAGGAAAACCGCAACGCGACGCGTGTGGCCACGAACGGTCCAATCATGGCTGAAGTTCCGAGTCACGCAAAAACTGCCTAACATCCTCCGATCTATCGTCAGCATTATGCTTCTGAATATGAAAATTTATACTGTTCCGCGCACAACGTATCAAAAACGTAAGATATTTACCAAAACCTAACGTCAACATAAATATTATTACTCGTTTATAAGGTATAGCCAAATAATGATCTCATTCTTTGACAAGAGGTTTAGTAATGGTTTGATACTTGCAAAGACCAAGATTCTTGAGTGTTCTATTAAACTCGAATAGGCAATAATCCCATTTTTTGTAACAGTTTTCCAATTGCAAGGGGTTCAAATGATGCATTGCCGATGATCAAAGTTTATTCAAATTCACTAACTACATCTACCTATGGGGTCCCAGGTGTCTGAGTATGTCAACTACCAGAATAAGCAGTAGCCACATGATAATCCCAGTCTTTGGCAACAATTCATCAAGTACAGGGGTTCAGTGATGATTTGCTATGATGATCAGACCCCATTCAAATTTACTATCCATATCTACTTATTAGGAACATGGTACCTAGGTGTCTGACCTATTCTTCATGAACAATTGACCAAGCACAAGTGGTCTAATGGCACCCAATCGCTATTAAACACCCATTCTAACAAGATTGACACGTTTCGATCCAGGAATGTGCCTATTCTGGTGTCTAAACCTAGTTTCCGCAATGGCCACTGTAAACCAATTATCCTGCTCCTTACAAGTTGCCTAATCCAGTGACTTTCATCCCGGAGCGATCGTCACAGATTTATATGGGGTTTATAAAATCCACCGGCGTCGGTATTGTTGTTAGTTGCTGGTGAAACGCGATGGGAACGAGCCGGATCCTTTTTTTCCATCGACTTGTCCACCGCAACAATAAAACGTTATTCCCTTTTTTAGTGTTCGTGCTAGCGGCGCTCGTGACTCGGGCATGGAAAACGCGCGCGATACGATCGTCCGGATCGTTACTCCTTTTGTCCGCTACGTTGAAATCAAATAAAATTTATGGGATCATAAACGAGTGAACCTGCATGCTCATCAACAAAAATATTCGGGATTCGTCGTCATGCTCTCGGCAGCCAGCGAAGAAATCGGTGTCGTAACCCAAACCGATCTGCCCCCCTCCCCCCTCCTCCGTTCCATCTACTTCTGAAGGATCCACGAACTTTAATTGAACCTCCAGCAGAGATTTTTATGGCGTGCGCGCCCTCCAGAAACGGAAAGTCACGGGTTTCTGATGCTGACGATCGGAAACGAACGCCCTCGACGGCCAATCTGACGGAACAGTCGCGAACCGTGCGCGCGAAGCTTCGATTGGATCAAAAACCTGTAACCCGGGGCTACGAACGAACGTTTGAGGACTGTTCTTTAGTCCGAGGAATTGTGCTAACCCTCTGCACTCCTCGAGCCAGTTATACTGCCCCGGCTACTCGCAGGAGGCCCAACTGTACCACTTCGAATTTAACGATCTTTCGTAGGACGATGGAGCAACGTATTTCTAACTATAACTGTGAAATATTGGCAGTAGATACTCGTTAGTTTTAACGATATCATTAATTAAAGTCGTATACCTAGCGATAATATAGGTGTCTGATCGTTTAAGTAAAAAGTGAAAATTGTTCGTCCATATTTTAAGATATTGTATAGGATTTAAAAGAAGCAACCCCTCCCCCAGGAAACCTTTCTTCGCGATAGTAGTTTCGAAATTCAGTTCCAAATAATTGAACGGGGGCTAATCTTATAAAGCGGGATGGCGTTCTGTTCGCGAAACGCGAATGAATTCGTTTACGAAAGCAGATGCAGCTACGTGGAGACCAGGAAGAGGCTGAATGAACCGCACGGATGCGTATCGAACCTGCGCGTTCCGTATTGCGCGACATGCATTGCTCGCCCATTTCACTCCGCGGGTGGGAGGGGGAGGGGGGACGGAATGCATGTTTATACGGGCGTGCATAGCGGGAAGGCATACTCGAAACAGCTTATATCGCGACAGAGAGGAAAGTTATTAGAACCAAAAAAATGGGTTCGTTAAGATAGGTGTACTTTGGCGATGGGAGGGGCTTAGAGGTATAATACGTTGCGTGCAATGGGCGGGGAGGAAGGGTGAAACTAGTTAACTTTCTCTGCGTACACCTTTAAATTTCCATGCCTTTATGCTTCTATTTTGAAGATATAATCATACAGGATGGTTCATTTTAACCCATCCGCGCGTATATCGTCGGAACTATTAGCGATATCAGAAACATTTTTAATCTGCTATAAATCCTCGTTTTTTAATTAAATTTTCAATTTGTGTAGCGAAGTTGGATTAACCAATGAGCAAAATAGGCGTGTACTTATGGCATTCGCTTTATTTGCATCTCTGTGAAAGAAAATTGTTAATAGTGAATAGGAAAATATTATTTTGAAAGAAAAAAGAGTTGTTGGACTTATATTACCACAAATTGGACATTTATGTCTTGAATTACAATGTGTAAACGTGGAATTAACAAGTGAATAGAGCGTGTGTCTAGCTTGAAATTTGAATTCCTCGTGCAAAACCAAATTGAAAAGTCCTTTGCCATTTTACAATCCGAGGTTTCGTTTTCGAGGTATCAACAGTTTAAGTTTATCAATATTACTCATGGCGCGCGCCATTTTATCCCAGTCAGCTGATCGAAAACTGCTTATAATCGAAATGCTTATATCTCGAAAACGAAGCCTCGGATTACAAAATGATAAAGGACTTTATGATTTTTTTTCGCAGCAGGAACTTGTACATTTAGACTTATCTTATCATTTTTAAATACCTTTTTTGATAAATACAGTCACAATATTGCATCTGAAAGGCTCAAAATAATTCGAAGTATTTATTTACAAGATTTCAAAATTTGGTCCATGCAATCAAATTCATCTTTTTGATATAATTGTGGGATTCCACGCTACTATTAAGATTCCAACTACTTCGAAGAAGGGCCATACTTGCTAAGACGAATCATTCGTTGGAAGCGTCAGTGTTATTCATGCTACTAGTTTAACATCTCCTAATAATTTAGGGAGTGTTCCTTTGTACAAGTTTACACCATCGCGGGGAATTAATTGCAGCTCGCTTATCATGGTTATAGTCAAAGCAGCTTACGAATCTGAAGGATACTAATATCAGATCGCTGTTCCATCTAATTCTGAAGGATACTAATTTCATTAGTTCCATCTACCGTCAAAGGATACTCGTTTCAGATCGTTGCTCTTAGCCACCTTTGCTTATTTAGGAGAAAGTAGAAGTACCGTTTAAAATTCCACCTACGATGGTAGAATTTAGAGCAAACATACGGAAGGGAAGGGGAAACATTATAAATAAATAAACTATCGAAGTTTGAAATGCTCGTGGACGCAAGCTTTGCTAAAATCATGGTAGCCCATAATACTTACGGCAAACACCGCTAGATGGCGATTAACTTAAACCGTTTCGCGGGGTTATTAGCAAGCAAATACTCCTACACATAAGAATTCATCGTGATACCTTTAGCGATGTTTAAAGCAGGGTTTACCGAGCAGTAAGCGTCGTCGAAGCTCGCCAGTTAAATCAGGAGGGGACGCCATTTTTTAAGGGAAAGCCATTTTCAAAATTACGAAGTTAAATTTTCGAATTCACCAACAGCTGAAAACAGCTGGTACAAATGCCCATGAAAATTATTTGCTATTGTTATAATAATTTCTGTAAGATTTAATTTTTATGGGCACTGGTACATCTTTCGAGGTTTAATTTCGTGGGACGGAATACGTTCGATTCTAGAGCATGTATCCGGATTTAGAGACATTGGGGATTCCCATCTTGTGTCATCGGTGTGCTAAGAACGCATAAAAGCGAAGATTCGCCCAGACTGTTTGGTATGTAGTACATATATACGTAGGATACGAGCTTGGCCAGAATCTGAAGCACCCGATTTCGAGTCATTACGCTCACGTTTCTGGGCCAGGTCTCGGTTAGACCTCGGTTAGGGCATAAGCACTTCATAAAGATTCCTCACTATGTTGTTCCAATTCACGAACGTCGATTCGGTCAATTTCCCGCTTCCAACGGCGGCCATTTTTTCGTGCAACTGAACTTCCATTAATTTCTAACCTCATTCCGTTTGTTATTATTTGTTGCATTAACCGTATCCAAATACGCAATACTAATTTTTTAAATCCTGTTACTAAAACCTAACCACATTCTATGGTTGAGTTTACGATAATCATAGATGTCGCTCGATACAGTGATTTATTCGTGGATTGATGACCGAGTGTAGGTTTCGTTAATTGTAACCAAATACAGGAATATTACTAAGAGAGCAATCAATGGTACATAAAATTAAAAAATCTTCGACAATTTTTAACGACTTTTTGATGTTAGAAGTCGGCGAAACGTTGTAGAAAATGATATACAACACGGAATTGTAGTTGAGGAACACTGTAGGCACTATAAAATTGTTTTCCTCCCAATAAAAGCAGGAATCTTCGGTGTGGCACCCGTAAAAGCTACCGAGGGGTCCCGAAAGAATCTTTCGCGATTTATATCCGGCTGCTGTGCTACTTTTGCCCGTGGCGGGCGTTCAAATATCTGCAGGAATCGTTGTCATAATTCGCGATAATGGCGCTGGCTATAGTTTAAAAAGAGCGCGTTCCTCTTCCGAAGATTGTTTAAGATCTCTCGTTTCTTCCCTCGTGGCTTCGTTCGACGCGATATCGAAAACGTTGTTTTGCTTAAATTTCCTCGCTCAGCAGCGACTTTTCAACGACTTTTCTCAAAATATTTTTCACATTTTATTATTCTCCTTCGATCCATTCTCTGTTAGCAGTTTCATTGTCGATCGATGTCTTTATTTGGCGTATAAATTCCATGAGTATTATGTATCATTTTTGTATACTGCTTCGCGAAAGTGGGTGTTGGTGTAGCAGGAGGTCAAAGAGCGCAAAAATGTTATCCGACGGTGAGCACGTCGCGATTGAACGCCGGGGAACAGATCTTCAAAAATTTCCAATAAACGAACAGATGCGCAGATTCGAGGGTCCTCGGAATCAGACCTTGTATACATCGTTCTCAGTCTAATTCATGAACTCGTGAACCCTAGTCACGTGCCACCCTCGTTCATAAAATATACTTAGTATTTCTATGCCGTGCTCTATGGCTGTAACTCTTAAATTTATAATCCCTCGTATGTCCCGCGATATCATTAATAATGGACACATGAGTCCGTGAATGAACCCTTTAACTCTGCTCGCCCTTGATTTTCGCGCTCACAAAATGGCGCGGATCGGACGGCGATAAAACGAGCCGCCGCTGCGGTGATTCGCGACGGAGAACTTGTTCGATTCGTTCCCCTTTAACTCTTAATTTATTTACTATATTTTATGGTCAAATAATAGTATCAATGAATATGCAGAGTGACCCATTTAAATTTACTTAAAATTAACTTAAAAAAGTTTCAGAGGGCATATGAAGGTCAACTTTGTTTTGCAATGGAATCATATAGTTTTTAAATATAAAAAAAATTCCGTGTTATTGTACAATTCATAGGTAAATAGACAAAGAAGCTCTTGGAGGTTTCTTTTACGCGGGGGAAGCCCCAAAAATCCTAGTAACCTTAAGCTTCGTTAGTGCCTTGGTAAACTTCGACTTTCGATATTCAATCAGGATGTCACGAATCGCACGAAGACAATAGGGTGGACACGGTCGATCTCCGACTCGTGCTCATGTTTCTATACGGATCGGGAATCCCCTCCCCATTCAAGCAAGTTGGCCACCGTCGTCAGGTGGTTAACCCAGAATACGCTAACTTTGGTCCACGCGTTCATCTAATTCGGTTAGGCGAGTTTGCGATCCTCGGGATCGTCTATGAAATCACCGATGACCGAAATTCTTATCCAGAGAAAAATTTCGAATAACGAATAAAAGATGTTCGTTTCTTATTCGGGGAATAAAAATCGAGTGAACGTCACGAATGAACTGGGTTAACAACAATGAATCGAATTCGACGGAAAAATGGACAGAGCAGCCGAGATAATAAACGCAGACGCTCGGGTCTATTTTTCATTCAGAGAAAACACTTTACACGAGAAACTAGAACAGAAAGCGAATTAGTCTTGATCAATATTAATGGATTCCTCGAAACGCACATAGTCCTGAACCCGTTCAAAGGACACACTGATTAATCAATTGATTCTAAACGTCCTCTGGTAGCAATCCTCCAGTTCGAGCTACAAAATGCTTTTGTTCGTGCAATAACACGGTTGTCGTCGTAACAAGATTCCATAAATCGTCGATGAAAATCCCATAAGCTACGCGGCAGAGGATCGACGATCATAAGAATCGATCGACTTGGAAGTTAAATGGAAAATCGTACGAGGCAATTTTTATTCTTCGACTGTTGAACCGATCGATCATGCCGCGGGGTTAAATTATACATCCGGAACGGGACGCTTTTGATTTTATTGAAATCAATTCGAATAAATTAACGTCCGTGTAAACGTAACTGTTGTGCAAATCAAAAATAAATCTGGCTGAGCGTTTGCAATTCAATTGTTTTGCGAAAAAGTGTCGGCGATCGAAGAACAAGGTGTTCAAAATATTAGTTAAACCACGAGATAGGCTAATTTCCCTCAAAGCCAACCTATTGATATCAAAACTCTATTGGTTTCAGTTTATTTTTACATAAGGAGTCACTCTATTCTCATTCCTCCCACGATTTTTGTCGAGTTTTACATAAACAAGGCATCTCAAATAGATTCTCAACTAAAGGTAGGATGGAGTACCTCGTAAGTAGATTAGAACTTTGCCAGATTCATGCTTAAAGGACTGTGATAGTCGCAAACACCAAAGCAGCGTTTCTAAGTAGAATAAGACAAAAATTGGAGAACCTAAAGTAGTATGTCTGACACAGTAGAATAAAACCCTAACTGTAGAGGTTAGAATCTTCTACAGGTGCTCTAAGGCAATAATCATTTAGCTACAACTGGCGTATAGACTCCATTCAAATGATGAACACAGAGCAATCACATAGCGATAGTCATCTACTCCCATCTTATATAAGATTCTAATGATGCTCTAACGCGTGTCTCACTCTCTAGACTCGATAACTGTTATCTAACACTAACGTATTCATAAGTACACAATGAAATCCTGCAAATACTCAAGCTTTAAGTCCTGGAGTAGCTTGTTCCAACTTAGTAAACACAAGTGCAATGGATGGAAGTAGCGACCCTCATGACTACTACACCTAAAAGTGAAAGTTGGGACCTGGAACTGACTTGGATTCATGGGTACATACTGAACAATTGTTCCCTCTTCATTTGCTACGAAGAAAAAATAGGAATCATCAGTCAGATCTACTCCTCAAGTCATAAAAACTCTTCCTAACACTGAACTAGTTACAATTACACTATGCAACTCGCCAGGTACACACGCTACCCCAAAATTAGGGCTATGCGACACCTAGACTCACAACCGAAAAAGGAATCGTACTTAAATCGCCATCGAAGGTACATCAAACCGAACCAAAGACCATCGGATCATCTTCCGTGGCTTTGCTTAACCTCGATTAAAGTTCTATTGTTCTGATCGCACCAAAAGCTAGACCAACAACCAGAATAAAGCTCGTATACGAACCGGAGGATGCGGTGAAGCCCGCGTGCATGGCGTACCGCGGCGTGGTCATGTGCTGAGGATGCGGCGTCGGCTGTAGCGCGGCGTGCGTCGCGGAGACGGGCGCCTGGGGATGCGTGGCCGCCGGTCGCGAGAGTATCGAGTCGATGCCGTGCGGATTGCTTCCGACGGAGGTGATGGAGGTGGCCGGACTGTGCTTGCCGCTCCCTGTGGGCGAGGATTGCCCCTGGGTAATGGTGGAAAGCGGCACGCTGATCCTGGGCAGCTGCATGCCCGTCGGTGGTTGCTGCTGCTGCTGGTGCTGTTGTTGCTGTTGCTGCTGGTGCTGCTGGTGCTGTTGGTGATGACTCCGCTCCGCCATGGAGTGGAGGGCAGCCAGGGGCTGGCTGGCCAGCATGCTGCCGCCGGCGGCGCTCAGGTTGAGGAACTGGAGAACGTGCGGCGCGGCGGCCGCGTGGAAGTCGTGGAGCCAGGGCGGCCTGGCGGGCGGCGGCGAGTGGCTGGACGCCGGCGGCGGCGAGCACGAGCCCAGCGACGAGCCCGCCGACGAGCTACGGTCGCCCTCCAAGTGGCTGTTCCGTCTGTGAGCGTCGCTCAGCGACGACATGTTCTCGCCTAGCTGCGCGTCGGGGCTGGATCGCGACTGCAGGTCCGGGCAGGGCTCACCGCTCTCGTTGCAACTCTTGCCGTTGTTGTTATTGTTGGTCAGAGAACACACCATCTCGCACCACGCATAGTTCGGCAATGAGCGGAAAATCTTGACGGAGTTACTCCCCGATTGGACGGGGACCTCGCGCGACGGAACCTTGCCGGCTGACTGGGCGCCCTGTCGAGTATCCCGAAGCACTTGGTCACTGATACACACGAGACATCACTCACATTAAGCCCCCCGGGGGCACGATCCTCTTTCGCGGGCGTTTATGGGCTATGTCACTGCGGCAGGTTCACGAGCCCCGATCACTATCCTCTCGATCCATGCTTCCTGGAATCCCGACGGTTATCCCTGTTTCGTTTCGAACGCACTGTGTGTAGCTGGACCGGGACGATCGGAAAAACGATCAGTTGGATCGGCGACGATGCACGAGCGGAGGCGCGATCTGAGTAACTAATGGGGGGTTGCCGAGTGACTCGCCTCGCCAAGTGGTATGCGACTGGGGTGCATCGGGGAGCGGCGACTCCGTTCGCTCGGAGAGCGACTCACTCTCGGCATGGTCGTGTTCGGTCGGGCTTGGGGGCTCGGGTTTCGGGTTCCCGCCGCTTAACCGGCACCGATAGGTCGCCTCCGTTCGACCGTCTGCCGTCGGAGCGTGTGGATTGGCGTGGAAACGGTGGGTCGGCTGTACGCCGCGGGGCGTTTCTACCCCGGGATTGGCCAGCGCGGGTCGTTCCTCCGAAAGAAGAGGTGTTTCGGGCGGGGCCTCTCAATCTCGCGTTAGCTTCTTGTTAAGCGTCTTTCATTGTGTGTTTAAATTCGTAATTTATGATCCCGACTGAATAAAACAAGAACTCGCTGGTTCGCTTACTGGCTGGCTGGCTGGTTGGCCGGCTCCGCTGGCTGGCTGAGCTGTTTGGCTGACTGGCTCGCTAGTTTGCTCGACAACTGGGCACCTCTGTATGACTATGGTGACACTACCGCCTCGATAACTTCCTTGCTTCCTTGCTTCCTTCCGCCCTGACTGCCGTCCGCTCTCTCAACCCCCGCTGTCTCTCCCTGCCCCCCCCCCGTTCCGTCCCTCCGCCTCGCCAACCACCCCGCACCATCGTCTCCTGGCTCTCTAGCCAGTCAAGTGCGCGTAGACCGAGCAAATCGAGTTATTTGCTTCCGATGGTCCATTTGGCTTGTTCCTCGCTTTCTCTACGTATGGCGATGCACGTGTCAACGAGAATTCGGTTACTTCGCCCGGTTAAACCATTGCCTCGAGGATGACGTAACTGATGTCGGATGAACTTAACCGGACTGGCTGGCGTTCGACCAATCTAATGATCGCGAACGCCACCGGTCGAACCTTTCCCTCCTTTCCAACGGGATGAATAATTTATGCCACTCTTCGCCGGCCATTCTCTCGGTTACACGCTCCTCTTCCTTCGTCCATCGGCTTCCTCGAACAGACGTCGCAGTCGCGACCCGATGGGAGCGATATCGAATCGATGCCATCGTTTTGTATCGAGTTCTAACCAAAGGGCGAGCGTCGGACGGGATCGATAACCGTTTCAAGCGTTCGCGAACGCGTCCGTGTTTATCAATTAGCAGGCTGACTCTGTCGCTGCATTCCACTTAGGCTGCGTCTGAATTGGTGTCGTACACATACGAGTGAACGCTATTTGCACCAGAGAATAGTCAATCGTAAACGTAAGACATAAAATCATCGTGTGTAATCTCAGTTTCGTGAACGACGGATGACTACCGTTCTCTTATCCGATCGGAAATGATTCGCAGTTATCGAAGGATTGTTGTATCCTCTATTTGAACATAAATTGCTAACTAAATCGTACCAAATGACAGTAAGTACGTCGTGGAAAATTCAGAGTCAGTAGATTAAAAAAATTCTACCGTACGTGGATATTCTTAACGAATACGTCTTAAAAGTTATCTAGCCGTAACAAAATTGAACTGGTATAGTAAGGATGCCGTCCCTAAACGGTTGTACCAGATTATTCTAGCCATTTCTCTTCCGCCTCTCCCCGTTCTCAGGGTACCCCATCTCTCAGCGAGCGTTGGCTTACTTTTTCCTGATTTAAACGGGAATTTTGAGCCCCCTCGAGGAAGCCGGAACGTCCACGGGGAAAATCACGGGGCGTGGATGTTTTCCACGATGCAGTTTATTTGGAGAGCAACGATGCTTTCCGGGCGAGTGGAATCCTAGCGATTCAACGCTGAACGCCCGATGCTCGCAGACGGTTTATCGCCGTAAAAGATTATACAGTCTACTCCGGTGTTTTCTAATTTTAATTAACTCCGTTCCCGTGATTTCGTTCCGTTTGCACCGCTGAATCTAATTATTTCTACGATGAGTAACAGCAGAACCATGTTTGCTCGTGCCCCGGAAAACAATTCGACTGGTATCTAATCTGTTACACAGGGCGTTTCAGTAATTTATTCGGAAATAAACGCGATGTACAGGGCAGTAAAAAAGAAAGGCTCGAAGCTTTAGGGACTTGCAATACTCACTGAGAGGAGCAAAGATTGTCTAATCTGCGTAATTACCTTTTTATTTGTATAATACAATATTAATTTTTGGCATATAAATAGAACACAAGATATTGGGATTAATAAGATAGGTTCAATCGATTTATAATCTGCTAGAATTCCTAGTAGAAATACAAATATTTTAATACCTACTACCTATAGTAGTGTGTGAAGTTGGAGAGATGACGACGGTCACAAGTCACGCCTCAACATATACAAATTTTCGCCCGTCGTTTATTGGCCCAAATAATCGCATCTACTAAAGTCAGACCTACTTTTACCTCAAAATATGCGATCGTGGAGGGTCAAAGCGGAGTATACTCGAGATTAAAGTCTCAGAAAAAATAGATGGGACCCCGTATACGGAATCGCGTTTAATTTCCTGGTAAAAGTTTTCTTAGGCTCCGTTTTCATGACGGAGAGATACGGACGAAGGCACGTTCTTTACCTGGAGCTAATTTTGATTTATTTCCACGGTCGCGAGGAAGTCCGCGTTGATGTGGGTGGTTGGGAGGGGGTCGAAAACTCGGGCAATTTAAACTCGACGCGAATCTATTAGATTTCCCCGCGATCTCTCGCTTTCATAATATTCCGTTTTACACCGTCGCGATACAGCGATAATAATAGAGACAATGACGCGCGATAAAAGCGCGACTTAACGCTTTATGGAAACATGGCATATGGCGCGCTCTGCGGCCCTCGATAGCGCCGTTCAATTATGAAACCTAATCTGTCTCTTGTTTAAATAAGACGATTTTTATTGGCGAACCGATAGAGGAACATCGCGGAGCTTATTATTTTCGTACCATTATATTCCAGAGAGACGATGTTATTTTTGCACAAAATTCGAAGTGGATTTTTGTGCCCTGCCTCTCCTTTTATATGAACATTTTACGTAGAATTTAGTCAGTTTGAACCCCGATTGAGTACGCTTCGTAACAATTCGTAACGATTGAAAAATAATAATAATATTCGAAGTGGATTTTTGTGCCCTGCCTCTCCTTTTATATGAACATTTTACGTAGAATTTAGTCAGTTTGAACCCCGATTAAGTGCGCTTCGTAACAATTCGTAACGATTGAAAAATAATAATAATATTCTAGCCCTTATAGAGGCGCAACAAAAGCTACGTTTCCGCTTACCAGTTTGCAAAAAGCGCGAGGTCGGCGGAGTGTTAAGAATTATTAAATTAGAAAATGACGTACGAAAAGTGCTTAAACCGCTTTGATCCCTTAACAGTTCATTCCGAGTATGAACTCGCAATCTAAAATCCATTTGCATCGTTACGCGTCCGCTGTACGTACCGTACGTAGCGTCCATTCGTATCTTATAATTCGAGAAAAATGGCGTTTCCGCGGGCATAATCGGCGCGCAGTGTCGGCAACGCAGAACATAAATTCGTCGTTAAGAACTATAGCTCCCCGTCGTTCGGTTTTATCTCCTTTCTATGGAAAGTCATTACGCCGCTTTCTTCCTGACACTTTGCCCCCCCCACCCCCTCCAGTTCGTTCCCCTTTTTGATCCCGTTTAGGCCCAGACGCGCCTTCCTGTTTAGAGTGGAGTTATTACGGGGCCGGAATCGTCCAATAAAGTCGCGCGAATCGTCGTCGTTCGACGCGCGTGTCCGTGCCTCATTGTCGCGATCAACTGGCAATAAAGCTCTCCTGTTCTGTGATTAAATGGCGCCGATTAATCGACCGTAGGCACTAGGTCTTCGAGTGATCTGCGAATTGAAACGCTTAACGAATCCCGGTTTAGAGGTAATTTGCAAACCCCGTCGGAATCCCTCATTGGCTGCCCTCCATTCGTCGCCTGTGCGAGTCGAACGTTTAAAAAACGAGAACAAGGATTCTTGGTGAGTTAAAACCGTGAGACCCATTCAAAATCTCTCTTAACATCTCACCATTAGAACTAATCACTTTAAATCCTCAAATTCAAAATTTTGGTGCACTCCCCTCTCCATAACATAATAGTATAAAACAATAAAAATTGATAATAAATATATTCGTAAGACATTTCAATCACATTCGCGAATACGCAAGTGTCCAGAAACTCATGGTTTGGGGGTTGTACCTCCGTACTACGAATTGGGCCCACAAGCCTAACAGCTCGATTATTCTATTTAAACGCGCGCGATATTTTCATACGATTAACACCGAAAGCGTCACGCAACGACGAAAGGAAAGAAAATTAGATGACACTGATGGGGAGAGCAGAGGGCCCAAAGTGGCTAACTGTATGGTTATTCCATCATCTGCCGTGGAACACGATGACACGGATTACCGGCTGCGGGCAAAAGGCTGGGCTGCATGGCTAATAGAATGCAATCATCGGCGTGTAATGATTGGGGCACAATGCGGTCCGGGCCCCCCCGGAGGGAGGGGGGGCGCCCGTGTTATAAAACGACTTCTTCACCGACAGCCCCGACGCTCTGCTCGCCTTTTTCCGTCGCGCGTGACATCCCGTCGTCGTTAATAAAACCCGATGACGCGTGAAATTAGCCAGCATTTATCACCCCGATGACTCCCCTCCCC